GAAAAATCTTAAAGAGTGTTTGAATTCAGCTCCAGAAACAACACCTCCCCCCGTTTCTGTTCAGTCTAACTTGTTCCCGTGAAAACAGAAGACAATTTAAAAAAAATGAATTTCCTAAATAGCAAAAGGCAGCACTTAATCCCCTCATTAATACTTGAACCTAATTTGGATAAAATATATTTCACAGTCTTCAAGTAATGCTCTGAAAATACAGATGAACAGACAGATCAGATGATGACAATATCCAACCGCATTATATGCAGAGGGGATAAAAATGAATATGTGTACTATAATGAGAACAATACATGTATCAAATGCATGTCACCAAACCATCCCTTACAAACAACAAGATTGTAAGCTTGGTATAGTCCTTGTTGAGAAAGAGGACTAATTTCGAAATGACATCCTCAAGGGTTTTCTTTACATCTGTTACACGTGGCTGTCCCTCAGAGTTTTAACATGTAAATGTATTGAGAAGACCATCTTCTCCATCAGGCTGAAAAATTTTGCGCAGGTGACACAGATTCACTCCTGATCCAGGAATTTTCTCGTCAATTGACATTTTCATGAAGACAGGTAGGCTATCAGTAAGAACTGATATACAGTTGAAAAATTGTGCTTCACACTGGATGTTGAGCAATGCAGATGAAAATACAGGAAAATCAAATCTCCTTCCATTATGTGCTACAAGGAATATATTGGGAAACCCACTGAACCATTTACAAAACTTGTCAACTGCACACTGAACAGTTTCAGGCTGAACTTGTTTCCCATTGACCGTCATTGTACCACTATTATTAACTATGATACCAGTAACCTGTTGAACTGTAGTTGAGAATGGTACTTTTGGAAGTACATAGGTTGAGAATCCCTTTCTTGTTTCCATATCTGAAGCTGCAATCTGTGTGATATGTGGCATTTGTCCTCCAAGTACTGAAAAAAAATTCAAGCTTTAAAATCCTTGTACATACAATATGATATATAAGTACATGTATCACTTGATGCTTATTTAGGTGATGCTTTACTAATCACTGACCAATTGGCACAACAAATAAAAAATGTGCAATCATACGAAATGTTCATTCAAAGATGAATAGATTAATTCAAACTTACTTAGGTCTGTTTCCAGCTGATACAGTCGCAAATGTCCCACGGGGTACTGCTTCAGGTAACTGCTCAACATCTACATAAGTGGTATGCCCTATACCTGTGATATGAAATAAATACTGCAATAAAACATAAAACTTTTTCACATGGTACTTATTTTTTATTTATATTTATTTGCAGTCAGAGGAAGTCAGCAAAAATAAAGTTTATTCAAGCGTTTTGTTTGTTTGTTTTGTTTAACACCTCACTCAGCAATAATCCATGTGTAATGTGATGCAGAGGAAAACTATTCATCCTTGAAAATTAAGTAATGTTGCAGTGTGATATTGGTATTACTTGTTCACATATACTTTACGGAATATTTTTGAGTATATTTTTTTCAATAAATGAGGGAATTATGCATTCAAAATAGAATTTGGACACCATAACGATGAGTAAAGTAAAAATAATGAAAATGAAATTTACCCGACTCATAAGTGGTCCCTTCTAATGCTTCATAGGCACCCTGTGCGGCTACATGTTCCTACATGTTCAGGATATCACGTCTTCTTTTTGTTAAGGTAATTGGGATTTTAGTTGTACACGTTTTCTGCGCTGCATTTGCTTATCAGCATATTTTACAGAAAATGTCCTGGGAGAAATTCCTGCTGCCATGTTGACCTGAAATAGAAGGATGAGTTGCTGACACAGCCTGAACAAAATATACTGAACAAAATTAAAAACCTTCACAATCCTAAATTTTTAACATTTTGACCAGTTATCATTGTGGGCCCGTATTGTGTATTTAAACAGTAATGGCCACGTATTGTCTTCAGATAACACCCGTTTTTGTGCAGGTGAATCGATCAAAATCATGTGCACAGCACTATAGTGGCAAAAGTGGTTTTTCACATGCAACTGGTCACGTGGCCATAATACCGCACGTGTTTTCAGCCATACTTGTTAGCAGTCATTAACAAAAAAAGAAAAACCCAAGAAAACAAAAGTCTTTACGGCCATTTGTCATGCCACGCCTTTCAAATGTGCAACTTAAACATGCCATCTGCATGTTGCAGACGGGAATGTCCGTAGCTGAAGTCGCAAGGACGATGGGTTGTAGTCAAGGGACTGTTTATGATTTACAGACGCATCTACAGCAAACGGGTACCACCGCTGATCACCCTCGGCCAGGTCGACCACGTGTGACATCACATGCAGAGGATCGTCAGATTGTCTTACGTCACCTCCGTAACCGATTTTTGATGGCTACATCAACCAGAAATGAACTGTTTAGGGGTAGACTGAGTGCGCAAACTGTTCGAAACCATCTGAGAACTACTCACCTTCACGCACGACAGCCATACTGCGGGCCGATTCTGACTCAATTACAAAGACATCAACGTCAATTGTGGGCACAGTGACACTTACGATGGACTCAGAGGAATTGGAATCAAGTCTTCTTCAGTGATGAATCCCGATTTAATCTTCGATTTGCTGATGGTAGGGCGAGGGTGTGGAGGCGCCGTCATGAAGGTTACGCCCAGTGTTGTGTACAGGAAGTTGACAGATTTCGAGGCGGAAGTGTCATGGTGTGGGGTGCTTTCTGTGGCAATGCACGTTCCAGGCTTCTTGTCATCCGTGGCAACCTCAACGCTGCTGCTTACCGCGACCAGGTACTGGCACCAGAACTTCTGCCTTTTATGGCAGCACATGGACCCGGTTTGATCTTCCAACACGACAATGCCAGACCCCACACAGCAATTTTGACAAGGAATTTCCTTCAGAATGCGGGAGTCAACGTCATGGACTGGCCTTCAAGGTCTCCCGACCTCAATCCCATCGAACACGTCTGGGATGCTCTTGGCAGAAGTTTGCGCACTCTCCAGAACCAACCACAGAATTTGCAAGATCTTGGCACCATTTTGCAGCAACAATGGCGTTGTCTTCCCAATCATGTGTTCACAAGCATCACAAGGTCCATGCGGAGGCGTTGTGTGGCAGTTGTCAACGCACATGGTGGCCATACACGCTACTGAACTTGTGTGCCATCAGATTCTCGTGCTTGGGACTTATGATTTAAACTGTTGATGTTATTACCGAATACCGTAGGTGCTTGGAACAAATTATGGTTACCACCGTTAATTAAAATCCTTCTTTGGACATTTATGATTAAAAATTACCTTCTCTGATACATTTGTCCGTTGTATATCATATATGGGATTACTTTTTAAAATGTGAAGTTTTTAATTTGACTCAGTATAGTATGCTGTTGTTCTGTTTCTGACCATCTTTTACTTAGGAGCCTTTTCTTTTTACAATATAAATGAATAGTTTATAAAACATTATTTTTGTTACATGTATTTCATTGAAAAATACAAAAAAAACTCTGGAACTGTAACCCTGCTTTGAAAGTCTAAAAATACAAAAAACGGGAAAAACCAACATAAATTCAAAAACATTTAAAATAAACATGAAAAAGCATGCATCACAAGAAAACAAAAGCAAAGTTGAATCACATTTTTGCAAATAATGATATGTTAGTAAGTAGTTCAATCAATCAGAATGCAAAACAAACAACAACAACAACAAAAACCAGTTTCTGTTGAATATATACCTCAGACACATAGCTTCGATCTTCATTAATAAAGGCTGTTGTTGCTGCAACACGAAAGTCTAGGGACTCTGAATTCCCATAATGCAAAGATTTTGGTGCCCTCAATGTGACTTCGCGATTTGCATGTTCGCACTGTTGACTGGAGCCTAAATCAGCATATTGTTCGGCATTAGCAATAACTGGCTCGAACAGTTTTTTGAGCTTTGATTGTAGTTCATCATCTTTGAGAGGAGCTTTGTGGGGTAAACTTTTATGAGTATACTTCTCATTTGATGATGTACGTCTGAAGCCACAGAATCTGGGAAAACATAAACTGTGACCCCAAATTGATGAGGAATCAACGCTTTGAGATTTTTCTCCAGTCCTTCCTTGTTCCCTTGGTTTTTGGCGAATGCATATTTCAGACATTTCTGAATGTGCATAATCACACTCTAACTGGACTTTTTTCCTTGCAAGGCATATAAACTTTTCCCTATGTTTTTCACGATGTGATTTCTATCAAACCGTATTTTCATGGTAATGTTCAAGTGTGATTTGATATGAGCATTCATGGTATTATCACCGTCTCCTTCCAGGTAATCAACAGGAGTTCCACCCTCAGAAAGCTCCTTGATGCCTTGAACCCCACTTTTACATTCCATTAACCGAGCACTACCGAAGTGATTTAGGACACATCTGTGCTTTCGGATTGGTAGTCCAGGTCTATTCCTCATCCACCACTTGCATGTGCCACGTTTTCGGTGACCCACTACTGCTTTAACTACCTTCTTTCCATATTTGGCCTTGCTCATGAAGAACGTGTGTGCTAAAAATATAATATAAAAATTTTGGTTGCATGTTTAAAATATAATTGCTGAGGCACATGTATGTCATAATATTTTTAGGCAAACAGAATCATCATAATAAAGGTGAGGGTGGGCCTCGTTGGCTCAGTGGGCTAAGGTGCAAAATGGAACATATTGTCTTTCACCTCACGTTTCGACCTACATGGGTAGGTCTGCCACAGTACCTACTAAAAGTCACAAGGGTTCTACAGTTTTCTCCGCCACTCATCACTGGCCACTATCATGTTGGTGAAATATTCCAGAAGTGTTGTGTAAAGTAATAATAACAAAATAATGCCTCAGATTTCTTAATGTACTTACATGTAAGACTGTCAAATCCCCTTTTATGCCAGGCTGTATCAACTGCACAAGACATTCCACTTCTGGTCTTGCATGGAAATCTTGATAGAAGTCTCACACCCTTCTTAGATGTTAAGATCTTCTTCTTGCCGGGTTGTTTGTGGGGGGGGGGGGGGGGGGGGGGGGGGCCAGAGGAATTGGTTTAATTTCGGCAACAAGGCTGGCTGGATTTGATGGAGTGTTTACACTGAAACACATAAAAAGAAAACTTTGATACACATAATTAAATTTTCATGTCTGGCATACCAAATCAAAAGTCGATGGCTATATACAGCTGGCTGGCCTGAGACAATGCAGATAAAGTGACTTGTCTAAGGACACAACAAGCATCAACAAGTGGGTTTGCTAGGATTGAAACCGGCAACATTTTGATTGCGTGCCTAGTCGGTTAAACTCTCAATCATGCACTTGGCTACATGATCAAATAAAACTATTGTTTGTGTTTGAATTATTTCAAAATTCTCACCTGTTTGAAGATGAGACTGGTGGACTTTCAATATTAGATGCTTGAGGAGTCTGGTCAGAATGTCAACTTTCATCATCAGAACTAACATCAACTACTGGTACAGTAGAGGAATAGGATGACGACAATAATCTGAAAAATTAAAAATTAAATCCAAATTGTTTTCATGTATTGTCAAAATGTTTGTTTGAGATCAGTTATTGTTTAACTTATGTGGTGGAGGAATTTAACTGTGTAGCTTTAAGCTGCAAACACATTTTACCAATGCAATGATTCAACCCGAATTAATATTGGTTCTTTTATGTGCTAAAACAATTTCACTCATGAAACCACTTATTCCTTTCTGATGGATTGATCTTCCATGTCCCACAGGAATATTGAACCTATGGAAAAGTGTCTTGTTGTTTTCGAAAAGATATACAATAGTTGCATTTACATTGTACAATGGAATATTTTCAAAATAATCTCATTTCAATCTGAACATATCTCCCACTATTCAACACAAGATATACATGTACATACTAAAAATATATAGAAAAGAACAAACCTAATTTCAGGAGTGCGTCACGTAGAGGACAAACTCTTAAATCTTCTATCAACTCCCCCATGATCTTCGCAGCTTGTCGACTCTTATGCAATGTCTCTGTACCAAAGAAATAAACCTGATGGGTTAAAGTCAGACCAGGAGCAACAAAGTGAAAGAGGAATTCCAAATTCAAATTGGTTTTTTTTAATATCTGACGCCAATACAAGATGATATTCTTTGTTTATATTTGATGATTTCCACAATATCTACACACGCAGTCGTCATTAAACAATGAATTCATTTGATTCAGAGTATCCACCATGTTTATTGTATCCTAGTGTTATTAAGAATTGGTTTGAACACAAATGACTAGTTTCACAAACAAACATTGTTATGACATTGTATAAAACTTACTCCATCTCCATTCTAAATGAATCATTTGCAGCCTGTTGAGTCGACTTTTTGGCAACAGCTTCAACATAGCCTCCAGCCCTCCATTCCATGTTTTTTAAACTTCTCTGGTTGATGGGTTTGATATTTAATGTTGAAAGGAGATTATTCATCCTGTCTGGTCCCCCAATGCTATCGATCATAGCTGTAAATAAATATTAGCCACAATATAATTAGACAAACGTATCTAATATTTTTTTAGGAATGAGGGAGGGATGTGTGCATGTTCATATTGTTGGCAGTAAAAATTCAAGGTTAAGTCAATACTTTTTAAAAATCGGGCATAGCTTCCGGGCACCCGGCTAACCACAGGGTCTGGGAGCAATACTGCCTTAAATTCCACCCCCCACCCCCTAGACACAAGGACAATTGTCACAAGCGTGCAATGTCTGACCCTTTTCCCATGTTGAAGCATACTGGAAAAAAGCTTACTGTACTTACTTACCTTTTTTTGAAAAAACAAGACAACATTGCCAACATAAGACATTATCAAAACATTTGATATCATCGTGACATGAACAATAAGAAAGGCATGAACCTGAAATATCTGATCGAAAACAGGACAATATTTGTGCTATACATCCTCAGAATGCCAAAACTTTATGAAAGCATTTTATTGGTCATTAGAATCGATACTGTAAGTAGGAATAACCCTTACAATTTACTTTTATCCCCCGCCACGAAGTGGAAGGGGGATATAGGAATGGGTGCCGTCCATCCGTCCTTCCGTCTTTCTGTCCGTCCGTCACATTTTGTTTCCGGAGCAGAACACAAAAAACATGAGAGATATCTTAACCAAACTTGGCATATAGATAGGTCTTGTGGTGAACTGGTGCCTTTTGATAGTTTGGGAACCAGCCTACTTCATCACAGTGCATGGCCGCCGTGATATTGCTGGAATATTGTTAAAAGCGGCGAAAAACCATACTCACTCACTCACTCACTCACAGTGCATGGTGGTAACATGAACAGTGGCACCTGAACCAGCCTACTTCCTCACAGTGGGTATTGGTAACATGAACGGGGACACCCGAACCATCCTATTTCCTCTCAGTGCCTTGATGCAAGAAAGCGAAATCCTGTCAATTTGAAACATGCAGTACCAATTACTGCTGTAACAGCCTTGTTCTCTGTGTCAGACAATGCTAAATCTGTCATGGTTGAAAGAAAACAGTATCCAGGAACTTTAGCATGGGCCCTCACAATCCACAAGTCACAAGGTAGCACCTATGAGCAGATGATTGGGAACATGACAATTGCACTAGGAAGTAAATTTAAAGTCCAGGCTGGTCAAGTGTATACGATGCTCAGTAGGGTCAAATCAAGGAAAGGCCTAAAGCTTGTAGGTTTTGATGAACATAAAATTGTAGTAAACAAAAAAGCATTGGATGAGATGACTAGATTGCAGAATGAAAGACTGTTCACCTGGACACACCCTGTAGAGAACATTCATGGTGATGGACTCAAGGTAGCTCACTTGAATGTTCGATTCCCTCAGTGCTCATTTCAAAGATGTGAAGAAGGACACATCAATGATTACAGTGAAAGAGACCTGCCAGGATATAAAGTCTATCCAGGAGACACTACACATGGTATAGCTGTGTATGTTTCAACAAGTTTCAAGAACAGTGTCCAGCTATGTGATGTAATGTCATCTCGCAGTATTGAATACATTTCCTTTCTTGTTGGCAAGTTCTGCATTGTTTGTGTGTATGTTCCTCCAAAAGTGTCATGGACACGGTTGTCGCATTCACTTACTAACTTCATGCAGAAACTTCAGGATCTCTCCAAGCAGCATGAATGTGACCATGTCCTAGTTACTGGGGATTTCAACTGTGATCTGAGTTAAAAACTCAAACTTGAAGATTTCTTTCATGTGCGGAAAATGACTCAACTCATTCACTCTTTAACTTACAGTCTAGGAGCTACACTGGACTTGTTGTTTACTGATCATGCCAGTGCTGTAGCATTCCAGACTCCAGTCTACTACTCAGATCATCAGATGATTGGTGCTGTACTTCTCAGTACACCTCATGGTGACCCCTGCTCTCAATGGTCTCTAAGTAAAGCAAGAACTCCCTTACTTCTCTGATTATTGTTTAAGTTATAACACATCTCATAACAAATACAACTGTAAATGCATCTTAAACCTAATCAACTGTATAAACACTGCATTGCCTCCTATCCTGTATATATTCTTGTCAACCATATTCTGTACTTCACTTGCTTGATAACCGGACATGTCATATTGGCGGGGGATATGAGTATTTCATGCTTGTTAATAATGGAATTTTGAAAGCTTGTGGTGCCTTGCTCCACATTTTCATTGGTCAAAAGTCCCGACTTCTAAAACCAAAAAACCTGTCAAATTGAAATTTTATTGGTCTATGATCGATGACCAATGGCCATCTGAAACCCTGTATTATGTTTAATAATGGCAGGAATGTAAAACAAAAATAAAATTTACTTGTTCCAAGCTTTGTGTTGATAACAATACATGGCATCCCTGACTTCCCCTTCTTCTCCCTGTGCGTCTTCCCATATGGAACCATGTTGGTTTCCCCACATTCCGTTTCTGACATTTCACGTACAAATAGCCGCTAAGTCCTTCCCTCATCTTACCGACAATATTCCCATACGTTAATGGAATAGGGCCCAATTTGCAGTACTTGCAAGCGACGAGAATGGAAAGATGTTCCCCGAGCTCGACGATCCTTCCCCCTTCCTCCCATCTGTCTCTGCCTGCGTATTTGGCGAGTTCAATGTTTCAAAAAAGAGGACAGTCGTCGTCCTTGCAAGGATCGCCAAAGCAAACATGGCCAGCTCCATAGTTGTGATCGATGAGCACGTTTGATTTTAATATTTTGGTTTGATTACCGGTCTTTTTCTTTTTGAATCGACCACAGCTTTCTCTGTCAGTTGCCATGATTGTTTACAATAAGGGTCATAACTCTTACTCGGTATAACATCACCCGAACATTGCAGATGTTGGGAACATCGGTATAAGACGTAGTTATCACCGTAAGTGTCCAATTATACAGGGAATACCTTAATATTGATCGCAATTTCCTGCTTAAAACGTTCAGAATAACACGATTTAATAAAAATCTTTCATCAAAATCTGAATTCATCAAAGACGAGGAAGGTACCATAGCTGTAATTTGATTGGCTGCCTTAGGTAATGTGCTCAAATTTGACCAATCACGGACCTTGTAGCAGATTTCGGCAAGAAAGCGTCATTAGAAACCAATTTTTAGCCAATAAAATCGCATGTTACAGCTACGAAAAGACTCTAGGCGATGTTACGGCTGTGAAGATGAAAAAACAAGCTTTCCAGCGATGTGTCATATAGCAGTCTTCGATGAACGTGTTATTCATACAAAGCTTCGAAAACGGAGGATATTCCTTCATGTTACTGAGCGGACAGCTGCTGTTATTGGGAAATGGGTGATGACAGATACTAAACTGGGGGGCAAAAGAAAGTATAGGTCGAGTTCCATGATCGATAAAAAAATAACAAGAAGAGGTTTTGTTGTGAATTATAATATAATCTAGGGAGGGGGAACAAATGATTGATCAACCACAGTTTGAATGAAATTGTGCAATCACAGGTAATGCAAGCTCAAGGTAAACAATGGTGGGGTAAGAAATTTCATTTTTCAAGTTGTCTGAAATGTCACCAAAAAATTGTCAGACACACTACAAGTTCATTGTCGACACAGTTGCCTTCAATAGCGTGCATGACCTCCAGCTGCCTCAATGCATGCTGTGATACGCTCGCTCTTCGATCATGTCAGTCTTCTGATGATGTGGACTGGAATCTGTTGCCACTCGTCTCTCAGGGCCTGTTGTAACTCTTGTCTGTTGTCGGGAGGGTGATGGCTTGCTCTAATCTGTCTGTCAAGACGGTCCCACAGATATTCAATAGGATTCATATCAGGTGAGTGGGCAGGCCAGGGCAAAACATCAACGTTCTGCTGGTTTAGAAAGTTCCGAGTCAGTCTTGCAGTATGGGGCCTGTCATTGTCGTGTTGAAACAATGTCCCCTGCTGTTGGTTTTGTAAGAACGGAACCACAACTGGCTGCAACACTTGGTCCCTGTACTGCACAGCGTTCAGGTTTCCCTGTATAATCACCAAATCAGTCTTCTGATCTCCACAAATACCGCCCCACATTATGACACCTCCCCCGGTGAATGGATGGACCTCTTGAATACACGCCGGAGCCAAACGTTCCCCTCTGCGTTGATAAACTCGTTCTCTGCTATCATTTCGAAACAAGTTAAGCCGACTTTCATCAGTAAACAGCACTCGACGCCAATTTCTCACTTGCCAGCGTCAAACCTGCCTCGCCCATCGCAGTCTCAGGCGTCGATGTTGAGCAGTCAGTACCATTCCTCAGAAAGGATGATACGCTCGGATTCCAGCAGCACGAAGTCGTCGTAGTACTGTACGTTGGCTAATGTTGCAGCCGTCGCCATTACAAATCTGTTTCGCAGGTGAATGAGCTGTATCTGACCGTCTTACAGTGGTGTTGTCACTCAGGGTCGTCCGGTTCTAGGCCTGTCCTGTGTCCTCCCTGTCTGCCTGTACCATTGAATCAGCCTGGCAACTGTCAATGGTGTACAACCAAACCTTCTGGCAATT